TTTTTTCTGTCATTTTTTAAAATTAATTTTTGTTGTTTTCTGTAGTTTAACGAAGCAGCAACAATCTGTAAAATTAGAATTAAAAAAGTCCCTAATACAAGTTTTTTCTTCTAAATATCCTTGTTATGAGCAGGTACATGTAAACTAATAGATTTTACAGATTAAAATAGAGTAAACAGTAACTAACGATGAGCATTTTCTGCAGTATGAAGCCTGATCATTTGTGTTCAACAATATTCAACCACTTTATTTATCGTGAAGGAAATTCATTTGCCAGATGTTGCTCAAAATAATTATTTTATAGTTTATATCAGTTAAAATTAAGGCCATAAAATGTGCTTTAGTTGTGAGGAGTTACTGTGTTTCTATGAGATGTTTATTTTCTGTTATTTCAGACGTTTTTGTCGCCACAGCTGCTGGAATATTAAAGTTATTTATTTTACAATGCAGACATAAAGAACGAGTTCTGCCTTCATCCAGTTTGCTTTCAGCTAAGTGAAATATTGCAATTAGTCTTTTTTTTTCTGTTGCGACATGAAACTGATGCACATTTCCTCCATAACTGGTATTATTAGTATAAGTGGACTCTGATTATTTTGTTCTGAGCTGAACCGTGTCGCCTCGATAACAACATGACGGCATTAAAGCAGAAACTGTAAAACTGTGGAGCAGCAGAAATTAGAAATCAGTCGGGACATCAGCAGCAGCTTCTCTCTAAAGTTTGATTTAACTGCAGCTGCAGAACTGACGGTTAAGAACTTGGCCAAAGTTTAGTTTCAGTTCCATGAATGTTGTTTTCTATGAAGAGTCTCAGAGCTTCTTCAGATCAGTTCATCCTGTGTTTCTGCTGCAGAGCATGAACTCTGTGAAGTCTCGTAAACACGCCTCATGTGTTCTTCAGTCTTTATTTCTACATCTGAGCGGCTCCGGTTCACCTCCGCTTACAAACTGCTCTGTGATGAAACTCGAGTGCTCCGGGGTGACGGGTGTCGGGAAAGACGATCGGCTCGGGATGACTCGAATGCTTTCCACGCCCGGTCGGGTTCAGAGCTGCAGGCGCCACCGCAGGAAGCGGCAGAGCAGCAGAAGCTGCAGCAAAGACGAGTTTCTGGTGGAGATTCTGAGCGTCGCGGGTGGAGATGTCGCAGCAGCAGGTCAGGAGGCCGTCCGGCAACAAGAACATCAAGAAGCTGCGAGCCATCAGCGCGGTGTGCAGCCTGACCAGCAGCTGGCAGCAGTGGGTGGTGGACAACGAGGCCAAGCAGGCCAGCGAGCCCAGTGGCTGGGCGCCACCTTCAATGGGAGGACCGCAGGACGAGCCCAGGAAGACCCACAAGACCTGGACCCCCAAGAAGCCTCCTCCACAAGCTCCAGAAGCCCCCAGAGAGGCTCCAACACCGGCTCCTCAGGATGCTTCCATGACCGAGCAGGTTAAACCCGAGCCTCCGTCTCGCATCAGGACCAAGCAGGTGGTGAAGACGGTGACCAGCGGCGTCCAGGAGAAGAGCGCCGGCGTCGGGCTCCTCACCGAGAAGATCCAGAAGGAACATCTGCCATCTGGAGAGGAGATCGACCAGCTACTGAAGAAGAAGAGTTCTCCAACACGGAGAAGGAAGTGTTCCAACATGGTGTCTTCTCTGACCAGGAGCTGGAAGCAGGTGGAGACTGATCACAGGGCTAGAAGGGATGGAGGAGGTCCAGGAGGAGGTCCAGGAGAAGCCCCAGGAGGAGGAGGTCCAGGAGGTGGTCCAGGAGAAGCCCCAGGAGGAGGAGGTCCAGGAGGTGGTCCAGGAGAAGCCCCAGGAGGAGGTGGTCCAGGAGGAGAAGGTCCAGGAGGAGGCCTAGGAGGAGAAACCAGCAGGACAGAGGGCCGAGGACACATGGAGGCAGAGAAGAAGAACCTGGACGTGGAGGACAAACAAAAGATGGACATTAATAAAGAAGAACAGAGCGGTTCTGAAGGAGACTCTGAGCTGGCAGTGAGGATTAAGAGACCTTCAGCTCCAGCGTGAGTAGCGATGAGTCCATCCATCAGATCTCCAAACCCTCCCACAAGTCGCTTTATTTTCATCTTTGGTGGAAATTAATTCTGTTTTCTGTGATTTTGTTTTGTTGATTTTTGTGATATTATCAGTAATTTAACAAAAACAGGGAAAATCTGTAAAACGATAATAATAATAATAATAATAATAACAATAAAAACAACAATAACAATAATAATAATAATGAGAATAATAATAATAATCAGTAAATTGTTCTAGAAAAATACAGTTAAAGCTGTAAAATGTTGTTTTTTTCTACAGTTCAGAGGAAAACAGGACGTGTTCATGATGCAGAAGCTGTTTGTCTCAGATCACTAGAAAATAACAGGAAAGAAATATTTAATATCGGTTCTGAGTCCGTTTCTGTTGAACCAGGGAACCGACCCGTTCTCACCGAGTCTCTGCAGCTGACCAGAGTCTCGTTGGTCTAATTTAGTTCTGTTTGTGTTAATCGGACCCGTTTCGCCTCGCAGGTACAAGAAGGAGGCCGAGGACGCCAACAAGATCAACGCTCTGTCCAAGAAGTTCAGCGCCGTGGGCAGCCTGAAGAGCCGCTGGCAGAACTGGGCCTCGGAGCACTCGGTGGGCCAGAAGCTGAACCCGTTCAGCGAGTACTTCGACTACGACTACTCCATGTCGCTGCGGCTGCAGAAGGGCCAGGAGGGCTACGGCCGGCCCAAGGACGGAACCAAGACCGCCGAACGGGCCAAACGGGCCGAGCAGCACATCCACCGGGAGATCGCCGACATGTGCTACGTGATCAGGACCATGGCCGACCCGGATCCAGACGGGAAGACGCGGGTCACGTTCGGGCAGCTGTTCGACAGGTACGTCCGGATCTCTGACAAGGTGGTCGGGATTCTGATGAGGGCCCGGAAACACGGGAAGGTGGCGTTCGAAGGGGAGATGCTGTGGCAGGGCCAGGACGACGGAGTCATCATCACGCTGCTGGTGTAGAACCAACCGGGTCAGAGGTCGCTGGAACCCTCTGGCAGCTGATTGGACAACACACCTGAACCTGTG